CCAGATGCCTTCCAAGACGCCTGTCATGACACCAAGAAGGTCCCAGAAGCCTCCAAGACGCTCCGAGAGGCAGCCCAAGAGAGGCCCAAGAAGCAAAAATCGTGCCATTCCTATGGGAAAACGTATATTTTTCGCATGTTCGCCTCTTGGGCTTTCACCGCGTCCAAGACGGCCCAAGAGGCGCCCAAGACGGTCTACGAGGCCTCCGGGAGCGCTCCAAGGCTGCGCACGAGTGGCCCAGGACGGCCCCAAGACGGCCGAAGAGAGCCCCAAGACGAGTTCGAGAGGGGTCCCAGACGGAGAAAGCCAACCTCGAATTCCGAGCTTCCGGCCCAAGAGGCTCCAGGAGGCGCCAAAATGCCGCCAAGAGGCGCCAAAAGGCTCCCAAAAGCACCCCAAGACGTTCCGAGAGGCACCCCAAGAGAGGTCCAAGCAACAAAAATCGTGCCATTCCCATGGGAAAACGTATATTTTTCGCATGTTCGCATCTTGGGCTTTCACCGCGTCCAAGACGGCCCAAGAGGCCTCCAAGACGGCCCAGGAGGCCTCCGGGAGCGCTCCAAGGCTGCGCACGAGTGGCTCAGGACGGCCCCAAGACGGCCCAAGAGAACCCCAAGACGACTTCGAGAGGGGTCCCAGAAGGAGAAAGCCACTCTCGAATTCCGAGCTTCCGGCCCAACATATCCCAGGAGGCGCCAAAACGCCGCCCAGAGGCGCCAAAAGGCTTCCAAAATCAGCCCAAGACGTTCCGAGAGGCACCCCAAGAGAGGTCCAAGAAACAAAAATGGTGCCATTCCTATGGGAAAACGTATATTTTTCGCATGTTCGCATCTTGAGCTGTCACCGCGTCCAAGACGGCCCAAGAGGCCTCCAAGACCGCCCCAAGACGGCCCAAGAAGCTTACAAGAGGGCCCCAGGACAGCCCAAGAGGGCCCCAAGACGGCCCAAGAGGCGCCCAAGATGGCCCAAGAGGGCCCCAAGACGGGCCCAAGAGGGGGCCCAGAGGGGGACCACGAACCGCAAGCTCGAGCCTTCCGCCCCAAGAGGCCGCCAGGAGGCCCCAAGGAGGCCCCTCAAGAGGCCCCAGGAGACCCCCAAGAGGCCCAAAGGAGGCCCCGAGAAGCCCCAAATCGGCCCCCAAAATGCTTCGAACCTGCTTCCAGGAGGCCCCCGACAGGTTCAGAGGCTCCCGAGAAGCTACGTCAAACTCCCAGCGAGCGGCCGGACGAGGCCCCCCACAAAATCACAAGAGGGTTCCAGTATTTGTATCCTTCAGCGCTCTCTGGCCTTCTTCCCCCTGCCCCCTTCCCTGCGACTTTCGTTGACTCAAGCTCGCCTCCTAGCTAGAACCTAAGCGCGCGCGAAGCGCGCGCGTGGTTCTAGTATATATGTATGGGTATACGTGCTGGTTCCCCCACGATTAGGAAACGAGCGGGGCGAAATCTGATACATGCCGCTGGTTTTGGCTCCACCGCCACGCCATATCTTGCCTCGACACACCGGAGCCCAGAGAGGCGCTGGGGAAGCCGGCCCCGCGGGACGTCTGAGTCGCGAGCGCTCCCGCGGTTGTCCCCCCCCTCGCCACCCGCCCCGACGTACAAGGAGGAGGAGGAGGAGGAGGAGGAGGAGGAGGCGGATACGACATTAGCTGGAGCGGGCGCGCGGTGCACTTCCCAACACAGGTGGGCGAGGGCTGCAGTGAGCCGTCCTCACGCGCCTGGAAAAGTTGACCAACCACCGCACCGAGAGGATCTCGGGCGGTAGGCCCCATGCGCAGCACTGTGGGTTGAGGATTTAGGGAAAGTGAGTGAGCCGCGGGGAGCACACCGATGAGGGTGCTCCACTCTCGCGGCTACTAACCCCCAACTCCATTGTTAGACGATTGGCTCCTCAGGAGCCTGACGCATAAAACTCCAGGGTCATCAACACGAAGGGGTCGAGGCGCTGGGATTCGCTGGGGGTCCTCCCGCGCCTCGTCGGAGGGATGAACTCCCGAGAGAAAAAGACGGCGGTTCCTCTGGGCGCTCAGCTGGTGACCAGGGTTTGAGGAGAGGCAATGAACTAAGGGCTGACCTGACGTACCCTTGGTGAAAAAAAACCACACGAAACGCAAAGGCAAACCTTCGCAGGGGCCACCCACAGCCGATGGCCCCTGGCGGCCTGAGACGGAACGGGTCCATTAGGCGGCAGGGCCTCAGCGGGAAAGGTTATGTTGCCTAAAGAGGGCCTGAGGCGATGAGATCCCACTCGCCTCCTCTTGTCGGTGCGAAAGGCAGGACCCGACCCAGGGGGTATGACAGGACTGCCCAGGTCGGCTAGAGCTCCAGACTGCACCGTGCCAGTGTCGTCCCTAAGAGAAGATGCGCGTTCAAGGCCAACCCTCCGCCTCACGTTGCGTTCGGTGTCCTGCGACTCGCTGCGTCGTCGGCAGTTGCCATCCCTCACAGGGCTGGGCGAACACGCAGTCGCTGGACCACTCTCGCAAACGGTGAGCGGGAGGGTGGGAGACCGCGTCCGACCACGAGCCGAGCGAGCGAATACCAGGAGGAGTGGCAGCAGGCAGGGCAGCGCAGCGCTGGGTGGCAGGTCCCCGTTGCCATCCTGCCCGCCCTCCGCGTCGCCCCGGCGCGCGGCAGGGGGCCTCTCAGCACCAAGACCCTCAAACCCCTGAGCCCTCGCAGGGCAAGCATCCAGGGAGAGACGACGACGGGTCTCCTCATGCTTAGAACCCTTCTTACGAAACAAGCACCTCCATGTGCTCCGCTTGGGCACGGGGGCAAAAACGTGCCGTCTGTGGGCCGACTGCTCGATTTCATCAGGAAGGGCCGAGCTGGCGGCCTAAAACGCTTGGGCCGTCTCCGTGGCCTAGTTTCGATACGGTGGCCATCGAAAAAGGACTGGAGGGCATGAACACCCCACTGCAAAACACGAATGTACTGCTTGTGCCCCACCCTCATGGCCTGACTTAAGACCCGAGGGGCGACGTGTAAATCTCTACCGTTGCGGGCAGCAAGGTCAGCCCACCTGTTGCTTATGGCATCAGTGTGCTGTCCACGCTGATGCCCCTTGACGAGGACCACCCTGACATCTTCCCCCACCTCGCCCAGGTCCCGCAGCTCGGCCCAGATGCAGTCGCACAAATCGACGTTGACACGCCGCGGGGTGCAGCACCAACTGGGTCCGAGGGCCAGGCCGTCCAGGAGGCCTTTTGTAGCCCGTGTGGACCACAACAGGGGGGGAGGCAAACCAAGAGAACCTGGTGGAAAGCAAAAAGTTTGGCCCTGGGCGAGGTCTGTATGGGGCCAGGCAGGGCTCCCCAAACTAAAATGTCAACGCCATGCCTCATGGGTTCCCGTAGTTGCCAGAAACCCCATTCAGCTCTGGCAGCCTCTGGCCAATACCAAATCTTTGAACAAACCCCGTCCGTGTAGATGGCCCCAGTTATAATGTGTGGATCGCCGTATCGAATGTGCCAGCGGCTAGAGTCATCACGCATCGGGAGCGACGGGAAACAGGAGCGACTGATGAGCCCGCGGGCCCAAAACAGGGTGTCGGGTGTTTTGGCAGGGAAGCCCACAAAGTTGATCGAGCCGCAGTGCCGATCCCTCGAGTTCGCAAGGTGAGGGCAGTCCCACAGGATGTGGTATAAATCACAACCCATCTGCGCACACTTCGAGCACGAGCTGTCGTCACGGTAGCCAGAGGCCGCCAGTCTAGCAGACGTCCAAAGGCCTCCACTTCGCCAAGCACGCAGAAGGCCTGCCTCCTTGAAGCTGGGACGCCACGTCGCTCGTGCATCTAGCTCATCGTCGTCAGCTTCATCATGTGGAGAGTCAGGGGGCACGTCCTCATCATCGCCAGTGTCAGCAGGATCAGGCACAGGCATTCTCGTAAGGAGTTGTGTGATGGGCTCCATCCAATATCCAATAGGTTCACGAGCTATGGGGGGATCACCAGGGAACGGGGGTCGTCGATACCAGCGTTCCCAGAGTCGCCTGACCCCAGCCTCTCGAGCAAGCTGTTTGATAGTAGCAGGCGCAGTAAGCCCCACATCCAAGACAACTCCAAGATCCGTCCTCCAGGCGGTGCTGCTAGTAGTGGCCCATTGGAGGTCTTGAGGGCAAGTAGGGTGGCTCCAGCAGGGCCAGCAACATTTCTCCAGGGTACACCTTCTGGATTTGCCTCACCCAAGCAGCCTGCAAGATACGATTGGGCCCCATCGGGTCCCTCACCAGAAGGGCCCATTGAAATAGCGGGGCGGTCCATGCCTCAATCTGTGAGTCCGTGTACTGAGACCCCTGCATGCAGGAGGTTCGCCAACAGGAAGTGGAGAACCCAGCTGAGTGCCATGCAACACGCTGTCTGGGGGGGGGCACCGTGCACACCCAGTCCATACGTCATAGAGGGTGGGAGGGCCTGATTGTGAAACTTGCTAAGCAAGGAGCCAGCATTGCGCAGTGCTTGCAGCCGAGGTCTGCGTCTAGCGACTCCACGTGTACGCTCCCGAAGTTTTGAGTACCTGGTGGCACGGCCCGAGGCGACTTCTATCCCCAGGACCTCCAGGGCTGAGACGTAGCAATACCCAAGGTCCCGAAAAGAGGAGGAGGAGGAGGAGGAGGAGGAGGAGGAGGAGGAGAGGGGGAGGAGAAGGAGGGGAAGCCAGGAGGAGGAGAAGGAGGGGGAGCCGGCCCGCGGGGGTGCCGAGTCGCGAGCGCTCCCGTGGCTGCCCCCCTCAACCCCCCTCGTCGCCCGCCCCGACATACAAGGACGGTCAGCTGGCCCCGTTCGAAGAAGAAAAAACGGCATGAGCATAAACGGTTGACGCTCCGCGCGGATTTCTTGGATTCGCGATGGGCACCCCTGGCGGCGCCTGCGACTCCGGCGCCGCCCCTGGCGCGCTCCGCGCGCCAGGGAGGGGGGCTCAGCGCGGATACGAGAAATCCGCGCAGACCGTTAAAAGTTTATGTTTATGTTTGTTTTTGCTCCTCTGCCCGTGGGAGACGACCATGGATGTGGGCGGCGGCGAGGGGCACTTCGACTTCGTCGAGATCGGCACCTCGCACTTCCACACCCTCACGCAGGCGGCCGCCGCACACCCAGACGGCAAGCCCAACGCCTGGCGCTACCTGCGGTGGTCCCACGACCCGACCTCCTTGCGCGGGCTGGCGGTAGACATGGAGGAGAGGTACTCGGGCGATCGCAAACATGGAACAAGGAGGTGTGGATTAGCGACGGGCCCCGTTTCCATGGGAAATCGCGGATTCCCACCGCCGAGCGAGGCGGCACCGGTCGCATTTTGGGGAGGGCACCTCCCCCGATCCATGGCTTCGGCGACCGCGCGCCCAGTTTACGGATCGCGGATCCCTGGATTCGGCGCAACCCCGAGGTATCTCCGCCTGCTGCCCGACCTGCCCCACGTGAAGAAGGTTCAGGAGGGAAAAAAGCACACAGACACAATTAGTCGCAAACTCCCGGGAAAATACGGGAAGTGGGGGGTGGAAGACAAACACCCAGAAAACATAGGAAAATGGGGGCAAGCCTGGGATCTGCGTGTATGTATTTGCGTGCCCCTGGGCCTTTCTTTAAAGGTGCAGGCCGCGGTCTCGGACCGAGACGGCTCGCACACCATGCACCACGTGCCTCTCCGAGACATCGGCCGCTGGGAGCGGGCGCTGGCGGCCCGGGGCAGCCTGTGGGCCTACCGGGCCGTGCGCATGGCGCGGGGCTGCAGCACCCTGGGCCGCCACAGCCTGACGAGGAGGAACTTCGGCAAGCTCGGCCTGAGGCACCTCATCCGCACCAAGCGCGTGCGCATCAGGAGCATGGGCACGCTATCCAGGGGAGCGAACAACGACATGAGCATGAAGACTGGGAGCTCCGCGCGGATTTCGGGGGTCGGGCGCGCTCCGCGCGCCAAGGAGAGGGGGTCCAGCGCGGATCCAAGAAACCCGCGCGGACCTCCGAGTTTTGATGTTTATGTCATGTTTCGTCCCCCTATGATTGGAGGAGCACGGGGTGAAGAGCATCGGGGTCTTGGCACTGGACTGCGAGGGCCACGACTGCAGCATCCTCAACGGGCTCCTGCGGGCCTGCAAGCTGCGCCCCGATTGGCACCCGTACTGGATCTTGTTCGAGACGAACGGCATGAACGACGACGTCTTCGGCCCTGGCACCGAGAGGCGGACGATTCGAAAACTTATAAGGCGAGGATACAAGGTGGTGTACGGAGGCGGTTTGCGTGAGAGCGGGAAGCGAGATACCGTGCTCAAGCGCTGTTGGTGAGGGCGGCGCGGGCGCCACGTCGACGAGGCGCCAGCGTGGTGTGTGCAAAAAGGGGTGGCTGAGAGTGGGTCTGGGGGGGGAGGCGGCGTGGGCATGGGCTCCGGCGACATGGCGTGCAGAATCCTTCGCATCTCGTCGTCACGTCCGCCCCTTGCGCGACGAGTAGAGAAGGAGAGCTGCCAGGTCTGGCGCGAGGTCAGCTATGGAGGCGGGAGAGCGTCACAGGTTCCACGCCCCCCGATCCTTCAAAGCTCATGGACGTGGCCCAGAGCCCGTGACCTGCGAGGGGGTGCAGTCTCCTCTACAGGGGGCAGATTCAGGAATTGTAGAAAAATAGCCAGGGGACGATGTTTCCATTGTGTTTGACGTGTTGTTGAATGTGTTTTGACTACTTTTATTTTTCTTGCAAAACCCCATATAGGAGGACACGCCCGAGCTAACGCCAGGGCCTTGCCCAGGGAAGCACACAGAGTCGGGGAGGCGCCAGTGTGCCCCGCCAGCCCCCGCGCTGAGAGCAGGAAGGGAGGCCTCCGGCCGACGGTGGCCCAGACGAGATGGCGGAGCTGCGCGCGGCTTGCTCGCCCGGTCGTGTGTTCGGGCGGCTTGCGGCTGCTGCTCCTGCAGCTTGCGCTCGGGGCCCAAGGGGGGGCGTGCACTCTCGTGCCACCCCGCCGCTTCTCCTATCAGGCGTCCCGCCCCTCCCTCTGCCCCTCGCCCCGCTTCTCTGCCCCTCCCCTGTGCTCAGGGGCAGCGTTGGGGGAGGGGGAGGAGGAGGAGGAGGAGGAGGAGGAGGAGGAGACTTAGACTTAGACATCCCTGGGCGAAGACAAGCAGAGTTATCCGACTGTTGAAATCGCTGGGCGGCAAACCTGATTGGCTGTAACCGAGTTTTCACGCTGGCACAAGTGGAAAATATCACTCGGGCCCCTCCTCGGCCCCAAAAGGTATGAGCTTCGGGCGAGGAGGTGGCGGCCCAAAAGTCATGCGAAAGGGAGTGAGCGTAGCCTGGCGCCGCATCCTGCAGCAGAGGGCCCCAAACGGCATCCCCTGCAGCAGGGCTCGACGCACAAGCGGCACCTACCCCCTCCCACGCCCAGAGGGATTCTGGTTTCGCCCTCTACCCCTCCCACGCCCCTTAGGGCGCGGCCGAATTTTAGCGACAGGCACAAATCGGCCCTGGGAATCCGTTGAAACCTCAGGCGTGAGAACAGAAGTATATGAAGCGAGGACCGTTTCACGACTAATCGCTCCTCTCTGAATTAAGTCCTCGAGCCTAGCGCTAGACGACAGCATGTCCATCCTTCTCACATCAGCTGGTTGGAGCCTCCTTCGAGCTTGTTCAAGAGCGCTCTGGCGTCCCTCTCCAAGACTCCGCGTGGCGCCGCTCCGATCGTGATCTCCGCCCCTTGACGGATGAGCTCCACGCGCAGCACCTCGTCCAGCTCCGCAGCCGTCTTGTTGGTCATCGTCAGCGCCCACTGCAATCGCACCTTGCCCTCCATGCGCTTGCTCTTCTTCTTCTCCTTGCCCTGCGGGGTCCTCACCCTGAAGTACTTGACCTCCGCTGCTGCGTCCACGATCTCGTACCTCATGATGTGGTTGCGCCAGTAGTACGTCAGAATCTCGCGAGGTTTTCCTTCTTCTGTACTCGCGAGGAGGGCGCGAATGAAGTCCTTCCATACGTGCAGATGCGGACTGCCCAGCTTCGCCGTGTCGACTTTGTCGTCCTCCTTGCTCTCCTCGCGCAGCTTCATCGCCGCCGTGTGGTAGTCCTTGCCCGCCTTGATCGCCGCCTCGATGCACGGGAACGTCGTCGGCGCCAGGGCCGTCGCGAAGACCGCGCTGATGACCGCCCTGAGGTCGCCCGCCATGCTGAGCGCGAGCTTGCCGAGGATGGCGACGAGCGCCGCCGCGACCTGCGCCCTGTTGGCGCCTTTGCCCGCCTTGCCCTTGGCCTCTTCCACGACGTCCTCGGCCTTCTGTAGCTTCTGCACGCTGCCCGCCTCGTCCTCTGCGCCGCGCTTGCCTTTGGGTAGCGCCCACTTGGGGTCTGCGATCCCCGCCTGCTTCATCCAGCCGGGCATGTCCGCGTCCTCTGCCATGGCGGAGGTTCTTGCCCACCGTAGCAGGAGCACGTAATCTGGTAAGAAAGGTAGATGCCGAACCAGATGCTGGCGTAGCTCGAGCCAAGAGCCAGCTACGTAATCGCAGCCAGGGCAGTCGAGGGACCGTGGTTCTTGGGCTTCGACGAGGGCGCGAGCGAGATCGGCAACACAATAGCCTCTTTGAATCGATCGAGCGAGGTGCCGACGAGCAGTAACTGGCGTGGCGAATACTGTCTGGCAGACTATGCACTCGTTCGTGGGGGTTGAAGAACGAGCACATATTTACGACACTGTGTACCTGTCGAACATGAGTACGAAGGGCTCGTTTCGAGTGAAGGGTCCTCCCGCAGGTCCTCCCCTCCACCTCCACCTGGCACTTGAATGCCTCCTCCACCTCGTGAATCGTGGTCTCCTCTTCCGCAGTCTCCAGGGCTGGGGGCAGGGCGCATGTTGGGGGCGCGATGTTGTGTTTGAATTCTCGAGCTCGGAGGATGGTGACGTCTATTTGACAGAACTGCGACCTCCATTCAGGATGTTTTAGCCATGCCGCCACGTGCGGACCAGCCTCCTCCTTCAGTGCCTGCGCCTCTTCCGAAGCGTGAATTAATTCATCCACATCCTCTTGAACTCTCTTGGCCCAAGGGTTCGTAGAGGCGGCAATGCTATCATCATCGCCGAGCGTGCTGAAAGCCTGCCCACTGATGGTGGCAAAAACCGCCGCGAAGAACTGGGCATTGTTGTTCCTGTCAGCCGCTGCCTGTTGTAACCGCCGTAGCCGTCGTACTCGTGGCTCCACTTCTGCTCGTGCTATCTTCCAGTGAGCCAGGACCTCTGCGTTCGTGAGTGAACGTACTTCTCCATTTTCTTTCCATGTGCAGGCCCTGCCCCGCATTGCAATCCTCGCCAGTGCTGCAGCAGTGCCGTCCAATGTGTCATACTGGCGCCTGGACGGCAGGAAGGCCCCCACGGCGGAGAGCGCTGCGTTCACCACTCGTCCCAAGAGAACCGTGCGCCTCCACCTCCACGGAATGCGAGCTGCACCCCAGAACGAGCCCATTGAATAAAAAGCCGCTCTAGCTGCGTGAACTCTTTTCGTCAACTCGATGCTAAACGACTGCGTGCTGTTGACGATGGGGCCGAGGTACCTGGCGTGGTCGACTAGCTTGCCCTCCCAGATTTCCCTGTTGTGCTTCTGCCGCAAATCCCTTCTCGCAATGCCGCTCCCCGTTCCGTGTAGCGCCATGATGTTCGCCTGCTTGGAAGTATTCTGAGCCAGGCCTATCTCCTGTAAGCAAGTGTTCATGATGCTATTGCTGTCGTTCAACTTACTCCTGAGCTTGTCAAGGTCGACGTTCTCCTTCGATGCTGGGGGATGCTGCAGGACCTTCTTGCTAATGTCGTCGGCGTAAATGTGCACGCTCAGATCAACCTGCTGCATCGTGATCGGGCACTTCACAACCAACTTATCATCTGCTGCATCTTTCTGTCGCCAGTGCTCAGTCCACGGAACGACGGCATGAGAGGAAGCGCGAGGGAAGCAGTGCACCATGAATGGGCCCCCCATGAGTCCACCCTCTGTCGGACGGAAATGTAAAATACCTTCTGCAGCTGGAAGGCGAACTTGTGCGCGACGAATACGTTGAAGTGCCAGTCGAATGTCCCTTTCTCGAACCAGTTCTGTAGCAGCTTTCTCCCTATATGATCATCCAACCGACGGAGAGGCGTTCGTCATATCCTTGAAACTGTCGATGTAGGAACACTGCGTGTGCCTCAATCTCCAAGCCGTCGCCATGGATGCCATGATAGCTGTCTCTCTCCGCCTACCTTTGGCGTGCCCATGATGCTCAGGAGGAAGTGGTGGCGGTCGCCGAGCACCGATGCACGTGGCAAAAAAACCTTTACCCAAGACGCGCAGAATGTGCAACAATCGTCGTCCTTTAGCTCCTGGCTCCTCGTTCTTTTCTGCAGCATAGCACTCGCTGATGTGCCAGTCCTTCGGCGTAAGCTGATGGTAGCGAAGATTGTAGAAAACCAGATGCAGCGCAACCTCGATGTAGCTGTTGTCCGAGTCTTCCAAGCTGAAGCCGACTCCACGTCGTATCGGGTCTCGAGCAAGATGTAAGATCATCCAGTAGAGCTCAGCAGGTGGGGAGTGAGCCGGGCACGCCTTCCGCTTTGGGGTCGTCCACAAGTACCACTTGAGGCACCTAAGGTCCCTCTTGCTCTCCAGGAACGCATCGGTGGCGTGATCGTCGTTGAACACGGGCATCCTCTCTTCATCATCCTCGGGCATCTGCTCCCAAGGATCAGGTATACGGGGAAGGTCATCTGGTACTTCTTCACACTCGAACTCTTCTCCTGTCTCGCGTGGGCAGTGCGTGATCTCCTGCGCGCCCATTCCGCCTTGGCGCCCTGGCTGCTTGAGCGCACTCATCCACTCGGTCTTCGTCGGATGCGCCAGGGGAAGAGCCCGTAGATCCCTTCTCTTCGTCCCCGTCCTCGAGTTGCCCAGTCGTACGGTAGCCCGATAAGCTTGCGCGAACCTTCTGCCGTCCCAATGCTCCTGAACCTCCTGTGAAATAGCTTCTCGTGTCTGTTGCCGAGCCCACTGCCGAATTTTACCACACTCTCTTGAAATCGCTTTGAGCTGAGCCTCAACTTGCCTTTTCGTGTCGTCTGTCGCCCACGTAGCCTCCCTGAGGTCTCTGCGCTGCCGAAGAATAGCCAGCCTTGCCTGTCGTAACTGTCGATAGTTATCATCCACGTGCTGAGGCTCCAGAAAAAAATCCTTGCCGTGATCCACCATCGCCTTCTCAAGAACAGTAAAAATAGCGTCTGGGGTGGATCTCAGCCCGAGTTGCACCCATTCTTCCATGTTCTGCTGCAAATAATGATTCAGCTTCGTTGAATAATCATGTTTGCGGTCACCATGCCGAAGGGCATGAACTAAAGTATCTCTGTTCCACTTCCCCCTCTGAATATCGTCGCACTGATCTGCACAGGTAGCCAGCTTGTCGTACACTATCTTTGCAAATACTGGCACATGGTCACGTAGCTCACGATCGGGAATGTATTGAAGACGCCGTCCGAGTCGCCGAAGAGGTGCTGACTTAATCAAGACGTCTATCCAAGCCACAGGACCAAATATGTAGTCTAAGCGCGAGTGTTCGCCTGAATGTCCGAACCATGTCGGCGCAAGCGAATCATTGAACACCGCAAAGTGGTGTCTGTGAAGGAGTTCTCTCATCTGCTGGCCTGCACCGTCCTTGAACTCCCTCGTCGCATGCGCCTCGCTGATGACCCCTTCGCCAATGTAGCCGTCGTCCTTTTTTGAGCCAGTGCCGATACCGTCGTTGAGGTCCGTGAAAATGAGCGGCAGCGACGGATGCGGGGTACTCAGCAGCACTTGGTCTAGCCATTGTGTCATCTTTGTGCAGGTCTCTCGGTAATGTGCTCCAGCCTTGGCCGGCTTCGGTTTCGGAGGAAAATACATCGCTATGGCCGTAACGTCCAGGAGTCCATTTTTGCATCTAGCTGCGGGCACTCGTCCTTGAATCTGGGCAGGGGTCGGAAATACACGCCGAAGATGTGAATGATTGACCCTCCTGCCCCACAGTAACCTGCACCCAGCCGATTTGTTAGTAAACACTCCAGGGCCCCAGCCTGATTCAATCATCAAACGTCCATTGCCAGTAGGCTGGAGCCCGTGCGAGTAGCCAGGGGGCGCCATACTCTGCGTGCCCACCAAGGCGAAGACATCAAAGTTGCGCACCTCGTCCGCGATGTCGTCCGCCCTGCCCCCCAGCGCCGACAGCGGGTTGAAGACCCCGAAGAGCAGTGGCAGAGTCCGCATGGACCTGCCAGCGCAGGTCCTCGCCACCTGAGAGGCAGCCGCCATCGCCGCGCCGCGGCGCGGCTCCTGGCGCGGTGGGAGAGGCTGGGGGCCCCCCACAGCGGCCCCGCATCCTGTTCTTGGGGGGGCTTGAGGAGGAGGAGGAGGAGGAGGGGGGAGGAGGAGGAGGGGGAGGAGGAGGGGGAGGAGGAGGGTGTGAGGAGGAGATGGAGGAGGAGGAGAAGGAGGAGGAGGAGGATGAGGAGGAGGAGGCCAGACTGCGGCCGCTGCTCCCCCTGGCAGGCTGTGCGGCTCCCCCGCCAGCCGTGCAGCTCTCCCTCCGGCCGTGTAGCTCTGCCTCCCCAGCTGCAGCCCTCCCTGTGGTGTCGAGGAAACTCTGTAATCCTGGCGTCGACATTTGTCACACCCGGCGATTTCGCTGCATGTCGGGCCCCAGGACCTCCTCGGATCGATCTGGCTTGAGAAATGCAGCTGCAAGATGAGGTCTAGGGCCCCAGTCGTGATCTTCACGACGTTCCGTTTTTTCGTCACGTCGGATCTCGGCCTGGAAAGTTCGCGCCGCCTCGCCGCTGCGAGAAGAATCAGGAGAGGAGGAACGGTCCGTCGCCTGCTTGGGGCCCACTTGGGCCACTTGGGCCTTCTTGAGGCCCCCTCGGGTCAGCTTGCGGCCCACTTATAGGCACTCCTCCTTCCTGTGCCCAAATCGGAATGGCCTGACTCGACCGCGGCTTCCGCAAAAGCTGTGGCAAGCGGCCCCGCGGAAACAAAAACGTCGCAGCGAGGCAGAGGCAGTCCGCACGCGCGCTCGGGCGGGCCGGGAGACGGCAGGCGTATAATTGTCCGGCGGCAAGAGCGGGAGAAAGAGAGAGAGAGAGAGAGAGGGGGCGCCTGCAGGGCGGTGGATGCGGCGCGAACTGGCTCCTTCTCCTCCGCCTCCTCCTCCGCCTCCTCCTCCTCGAGGAAGAGCAGGAAAGGCCCGTCGCCTTTTTGGCTCACGCAACTGCGCCTCGGGCCCAGGCTGCTCCCGTTCCCGTTCCCCGCCCCGTCCGAGGGGTGCCGGCCGAACACGCGTCACGGCTGGCGCGGCGCCCGCGTCCGCTAGAACCGCATGCGTCGTCAAGACGACCTCGGGCGTCGCTGAATGGGGGGGGGGCAAGGCACACCTTTCAGGCCCTAGAGGTTCCCTTTGGAGCCCTAGAGGGCCCCTTCAGGAGCCCTCAGCGGCATTTTTTCTGCAACCCTGGCTGCCCCCATGTGCGCCCCCCCCATTCCGCGGCGCTCGAAATCTAGCTGCGAGACGGGCGCTGGCAACATCCGTCCCGGGTGGTTGCCGAGACGTTGACGCACCGCACGACGGAAGCCAAACATCAAGGCGCGCGACACGATGAGGGTCACTAAGGGACCCACGAGGAGGAGGAGGCTAATCCAGACGCTGATGAAGGCGAAGACAACGCCTCGGAGCAGGACGAACAGCTTGCATGCAACCCGAAGGTCGTTCCGAGCTGGGCCTGAAATGCCGACCCCCGCAATGATTTCCTCATCGGCGACGGAACTATCCCCGTCGAGGTATCCACTCGAATGCCGAATCGCATTACCTTGTTTCATCGCAAGCTGTATCAAGATCCACTGGATGGCGTCTTCGAATTGTTTTCAGAAGTGCAATGGAAACACCACCACAATGCAAAATGTCGTCGACGGGCTCTTCCTGTGGACCTCACGCTGGACCTCCACCTAACCGTTAGAGGCTCGTGTAGGCCAAAGGGTGGAGAGCGAGGGAGGAGCGAGAGAGGAGTGCGGGGGGGATTGGGTGACAAACGCCAACCTCGCTCAGAGAGGGAAGGCAATCGCAAACCCCTTGCGCTACCCCCTGCTCCCCTGGGGGTCGCTCGTGCTGCGGGTGCCCCTCTGGCAGCTGTTGACGCCGTCAGGTTGGGGCCCCCGTGGCTATTGGATGGCTTCCGCCTCCCCATAAACCAATGCCCCCCGATCTCGTTTTCGTCATTGAATTCGGGCCGTAACTCGGGTCTCCGGGGGTCGCTCGCTACGACCAGGGCACCCCCCCGTACGCCTCTCGGCGAGGCGCAGCTGTTGAAACGCATCCTGAGGCTGGAAGACCGTTGAAAACCGACGGACAGGTCCGAACACCTCGAGACCGAAACTTCCCCCCTCCGGGGTGGCATCCCGTTTTCTTCTCTTTGGGACGTTCACTTCTCCCTTGTTGCCCAGGTGAGGAGGAGGAGGAGGAGGAGGAGGAGGAGGAGGAGGAGGAGGCGGAGTCAAGACCTCCGACGCGAAGGCCTCCATGGACGAGCTTTGAGGGCGCCGCTGTGGGGGCGACAGGCGGCGTTTTTTTCCCTCCCTCGGGACGCTCGCGAGGGAGCAAGGCGTCGCTGCTCTGGGCTCCCCATCTGCCTCTGAAGCAACCGCTGATCTACCTATACGACCACCATTCGTGTGAGAAGGAGGTTGGGGGGAGGGGAAATAATCAACTGCTCGCAACTGCGATGGGCATGATGATGACAATGCTGGTGGCGCGCCCTCGAGTTGGCGACGACGCGTGATGACGATGTTGCGCCGCGATGTGATGTCTTTATCGACCCTGCTATTGATCTCACTCAATCGATCGCACAAGTGATCTCACCACATCTCGGTCGTTATCGATCTCACTATGGATCTCACTATCGATCGGGACACCATCGAGACACCACGACGGGACACCGCGGGACACCGCGGAACATCGCGGGACACAACTGGGCACCACGGAACACCGCGGGATACCACTGGGACACCGCGGGACACCACTGGGACACCGCGGGACACCACACCACGGGACACGACGAGACACCATCGGGACACCACGGCGGGACCCCGTGGGACACGATCGAGACATCGCGAGACACCACGGCGGGACAACCCCAGCCACCGCGCGCCCACCAGAGGGCCGGACTTTTGCATCCGCATCGCCCTTAGCGACGGCGGGATCTTTCCTTTCGCACGCCCACGGCAGGACACCGCGGGGCACCATCGGGACACAGCGAGACACAAAGGCAGGACAGCCCCAGCCACCGCGCGTCCACCGGAGGGCCCGACTTTTGCATCCGAATCGCCCTATCGATGGCGAGATCATTCCTGTCGCGCGCCCACGCAGCTTCGCCTCGCCCGCACGCACGACACGAACACGAAACCGAAACCGATTTCCTGGTGGGGGGCTCTCTGTCCCACTGCGATCGCACCCCCGAACCTCTGATTCTGTCGTGTCCGCGAATGGTCCCTCGTTCCCACAGTCCTGGTTAGCAGAGGCGCGCTGGTCACCAGCGGCAGCGGCAGGAGGACCGGGTGTTCGTCCACATGTTTTTCCCAACCATCCTGTGGTGTTGGGTCCTCGTTTTGAAGAGACGTCGCCCCGCGTTCCTTCCTTCGTTCCTTCCTTCCCGCTGCCCCCTCCCTCCTCCCTCCTCCATTTCGGCACACCTCTCACACGCTTCGTGGCCCCATAGGGAGCTCCACCGAAGGCCCCAGTGCTGCCGCCCGCATGCGCCCCGCACACCCAACTCGGCACACCCCTCACACGTTTCGTGGCCCCATGCTTCACCGAAGGCCCCAAACCCGCCCGCACGGTCACACGTTTCGTGGCCCCAGCTCCACCGAAGGCCCCAGCGCTGCCGCCCGCATGCGAGCACACCCATTTCGGCACACCCCTCACACGTTTCGTGGCCCCATAGGGAGCTCCACCGAAGGCCCCAAGCTGCCGCCCGCATGCGTCCCGCACACCCACTTCGGCACACCCCTCACACGTTTCGTGGCCCCATAGGAGCTCCACCGAAGGCCCCAGCGCTGCCGCCCGCATGCGTCCCGCACACCCATTTCGGCACACCCCTCACACGTTTCGTGGCCCCATAGGGAGCTCCACCGAAGGCCCCAGTGCTGCCGCCCGCATGCGTCCGCACACCCATTTCGGCACACCCCTCACACGTTTCGTGGCCCCATAGGGAGCTCCACCGAAGGCCCCAGTGCTGCCGCCCGCATGCGTCCCGCACACCCATTTCGGCACACCCCTCAAACGTTTCGTGGCCCCATAGGGAGCTCCCCCGAAGGCCCCAATACCGCCGCCCGCATGCGTCCCGCATACCCGTTTCGGCACACCCCTCACACGCTTCGTGGCCCCAGAGGGAGCTCCCCCGAAGGTCCCAATGCTGCCGCCCGCATGCGTCCCGCACACCCAATTCGGCACACCCCTCACACGTTTCGAGGCTCCATAGGGGGCTCCACCGAAGGCCCCAGTGGCGGCGCTCACATGCGCATGCGTCCCGCACACCCATTTCGGCACATCCCTCAAAAGTTTCGTGGCCCCATCACCCACCGGAGGCCCCAGTGGCGGCGCTCACATGCGTCACCCACACCCACCCAATTCGGCACACCCCTCACACGTTTCGTGGCCCCATACGGAGCTCCACCGAAGGCCCCAGCGGCCGCGCTCACATGCGTCCCCGCCACCCATCCCGGCACGCCCCTCACAACAACAGGTTTCGTGGCCCCATAGGGAGCTCCACCGAAGGCCCCAATGGCACCGCCCGCATGCGTCACCACCCGCACCCAATTCGGCACACCCCTCACACGTTTCGTGGCCCCATAGGGAGCTGCACCGAAGGCACCAGTGGCGGCGCTCACATGCGTCCCCGCCACACATCCCAGTGCACCCCTCACGCGCTTCGTGGCCCCATAGGGAGCTCCACCGAAGGCCCCAGTAGCGGCACTTACATGCGTCGCCGCCACCCATCCCGGCACCCCCCCCGCAGCAGCACCATGTTTCGGGGACCCGCAGGGAGCTCCACTGCAGGCCCTAGTGGCGGCCCTCACATGCGTTTCCGCCACCCATGGCGGCACGCCCCGCGCGTGTTTCATGTCCCCATAGGGAGCTTCACCGAATGCCCCAGTGGCACCCATCTCGGCACACCCCTCACACGTTCCGTGGTCCCATGGGGAGTTCCACCGAAGATGAAACCCGCAGCTGCGGTACCGACAACTGCATATGGTTGGGTCCTTCGCCAGGCTAATGTTTTGGGCCCGCGGTGGCAGGCTTGGGCCCTTTTTTAGGGCAACCTTCCTGCAGCCCTCGATCTCCCTGCGTTTCTTCCCTCCCCTCCCCCCTTTGCTGTCCGCCCGAGGGGAGGGGGAGCAGCTAGAAAAGAAATCAACCCACGTCATGATTTTATTGCTCGAAGGACAAACCTGTAATGGCCACACCCTGCCCTCACTCCAACGCCATCCGTTCACCTAACGTCGGCGTGGGAACAACAACCTTTGTTGCAACGCGCCAGAACCTCTGCTTGTAATATTATCCCAGAAGCTCATCCGCTACTGCACCGCTCAAGCCCCAGTAGTAGTTAGCACACCTCATGGTCCCTAAGACCCCTGACAGCGTGCAGCGCACTCTGCGGGTGCTGCGTGTGCTGACTGCGCAAATGAAGTGCCTCAGGGTCGGTTTGGATTTCGCCTTCCCGCGCGCATGAGCCCACGAGGCCACGATTGCATTGGCGCGAAGCCTCGACAGCCCTCGCTGGAACGAACGAGGATGAGGAGGAGAGAAGGCAAATAATCCGATGGTAGTCGGGCAGGGGCAGTAGCTCAGCAGATGTGGTGACAACAGAAGATCACCCTCTCCTGCCCAAGGCAGTGCTCCTTGCTGTCCCTTCGCTGTCCTCGGCTGGCAGTGCACGACTGATCGATAATGATCGTCTCCGTGCGCTGGCTGAGAGGATTCGGGCGAAGGAGGCAGCTCACGACACTCCATAGTCGTGGGTGAGCTGACGTTCCGCCTCAAGGTCGTCGCGTCCTCCTCCTCCTTACGGCGGTCTGACTTGGTGCTTAGCCACTGCGTGTTCTCGCATCAATATATTATTGTAATTCTCCGGTGCTATTATGACCCGCGCATGCCTTGGCGTCTGGAGCTATGCGCCAAAATCCCTCTTCCTGTTTGCCCCTCTGGGGTGCAAATGGGGCCTGCAGCGGCTTGAATGCACCTTTTGCCCCGTGTCTCGCGGGAGGGGATCTCTGTTTTGGCAGAGCACTGCTTCAGATCTCGTGTCGTCCCTAGGCGCCCCGAAATAATGCCGCGCCTGCTCCTCTTCGCTCCCCCGCTGTTCCTTCTGTAGGCTGCCCTCGCATCAAGATATTCAGGCGGCAACGCACCTGCTTACTCTGCGCATGACTGTGGGCCTGTCTCCCGTGGGATGCGATTTTAGCGCTATTTTGAGCTTTGAACTGCTGTCTGGTGTTCAATATAATCCGCTTTACTGTCTGCCTATGGCTGTCTTTTAGTTCATGCTGTTCTTGCCAAGCTGTGGCTCGAAGAAGACGGCCCATTCCTTCCTCCCTCTCTTCTCCACCATCTCCACACTACGGGGTATGTGATCGGTCAGACGGAATAAGAGAAATAGAGAGAGAGAGAGAGAGAGACAGAGAAAGAGAGAGAGGGGGAGAGGCAGAGGGAGAAGGAGGACGGAGGCAAGCAACATGAGATGGGGTGTGACTACTCGTAGCCGCACGCTGGCGCTCTCTGGCCGAAAGAGGAGGCACAGGACAGGGGATTGCAGACGTGATGAGGAGACAAGAATGCACGGGGCTCGCACCGATCGGGGTAAGAAGACCGATGATGGACGCCACCGATGTTCCTGCGGGCTCTCCCGATTGCTCCTGCTTCCCAACTGCACCCCATCCTCTCCATCCTCTTGCCTATGGCATCAAACGCGTGCGGCAAGGCTGAATCTAAACGGTGTTTTTCGTTTTCGTGTTGTTTTCGGTTTCCCTCGTTTTGTCTCCAATCCGCCTTTACCGCAAAATGATGAAGTCAAAACGGAAACGGCCCACGAAATCGCCAAACCACCGTTTAGGTCTAGCCATGGCGTGCGGACTGGCCTCATGCCTCCACATGTTTGCTCACGGCTCAGCGCAACAACCTGCGAGGACCCCGGCGTGAGAGCGTTGGCCCTGCAACTCGTGTGCGTGCCGTTCGCATCACGAGCCAAGTGCAACCGGAGCGCCTCGTCCGCTCTTCGTCCTGCTTTTCTTCGTGCCCTGCTTCGAACGGTGCTGTCTCAGTGCATTGCTGGCTGCAGGGCCCGGGATGCTGAAACCTGGGTACCAGGAAGTGGATAGCGTGTCGCGTCGAGGCGTGGTGGGCCAGAACTGGCGGCGCGACACGCTAAGCCAAAGATCCTGATCGTATTTCTACCGGTGCAGGAGCCCCCCTGCTCGAGAGGTTCAGGACCGTGGTTCGGCCTGCAACTCCACCGCTCCGCGGGCTCGGTACCTGGGCCAACCAGAAGACCAGCCTGAAGCAATCGGCGGGGGCTTGCACAGGAGCGCCCTTCTCTGGGACGCGGAAGGACGTACTAGTACTCTATGGGCTGGTGCTCGAGTCGCATGCCCGACACGAACATGCAGTACACAAGTTTTTTTCCCCCAACAGTGCTTGCACTCAAAGGTTCTTGTGTCTCCTCTTTTGAACTGGGCCTGTCAGTCGGTCTGGCGACTATGCTGCGGCCCGCGCCGCCCCGTCGCCACCTCATCGCCGCCCGTCGTCTGGGCCGGTCTGCTGGTCTGGCGGCTCTGTTGCCGCCGTCGCCGCCCCGTCGCCGCCTTTCGTCTGGGACTCTGTCGGTCTGCCGGCTCTGTTGCCGCCGTCGCCGCCCCGTCGCCGCCTCGTCGCCGCCTTTCGTCTGGGACTGTCTGTCGGTCTGGCGGCTCTGTTGCTGCCGTCGCCGCCCCGTCGCCGCCTCGTCACATAGATTGCGCACCACATGGATTCCACAACATAGATGATCCCTTCTATAAACATAATTTTGACTCTACCCCCCTCCCGAGGCTGAAATTCACGGTCCCCCCTCGCAATATGTAGTTTGCACCTGATTCTGGCCCTCTGGTTAATTTTACATATGAATGCATACATTTCCAGCCCAGCCGGTATCGACCTTGCCATCTTCTGCACAAGATACTACGCGCGCGCTTTCGTTTATCGGCAATTATCAGTTTTTCAGGAACCCATTTGTAAACAAAAGAACACGAAATGCAAAAACGCGCGTCGTCGCGCGCGCATGCCAAAATCTTCCAACAACCTCAAGTTTCGTAAGGATTTCAAAATTGTTTGTCCCCGCAACATCTAACAACCACGTGGTTATGTAACGTCAGTTTCGGAAAAAAATGCGCTCGCGCTCTTGCGACTTGTTAAACAAACACCGTATACGTGGTTCAATATGTCATTACATTCGGCCAAACATTGTACGTGGTTCAACATGTTATTACATTGCCTGTTGCGCCGCATGTCGAAATCGCTCGAGCGCCCATGCGCGCGTGTTGAGAGGGAGCGCAAAATCCGTGTCAAATAATACCATGCTGGCCACTCTCGCGCGTCGGCCTCGCGCGCAGGTCGAACTCCTTTCTCGACCTTTATCGCCGACGCGAGGGCGCCGGCATCGTCGTCGGCGTGATAGACATTGGCGCCGTCACTGCCCGTGCCGTCGTCGTTGTCATCACCGCCACCAACATCGCTACTATCATTATCGTGTCTGCCGTTGTCGACGTTGCCATGATACCGCGCCCATTGAAGTCGCCGGCTCGCACTGAGGTGATCGCTGGGCAATGCCCAGCGGTGAGCGCCACCTCAGCTGGCTGGCCGCTCCGCGCGCGAGCATGCGCAGCCGCAGGGATGCGCCAGCCAACAGAAAATACTCAGCGCAATCGCCGCCGCATGGGGTTTGCAACAAAGTTGCGGGTGGGTGGGTGGGATGATTGCGCGAGCAGTGGAGTTGTCAACTCACTACGAGCATTGGTGCAATGCAAAACACAGGGTTGCACAACATACATTGCACCACATATATTGCAGCAGAACAATGTATCACATAGGTTGAACAAAAGATATTGCACCACATATATATATATATATATTGCATCACATAGACTCCCAGACACAGATTGCAACACACAGCTTGCGCAACATAGGTTGCACCACATCTACCCAGGCCGATTGCATGGTATGAATTTCGCACCATATATATGTCTATATATGTATATATATACATATATGTATATATATATATATAAGTATATATATGTATATTTATATATGAATATATAAATATATACATATTACACACCACATATATTGCACAACATAGATTATGGAGCTTATGTTGTGCCACATATGTTGCACCACATCTATCGCGCACCTATTTTTGCACAACATCGAATCCACACCATACATTGCACAACCAATCTTGCACACATCGGTTGCACGAAATAGATCGCACACATATTGAACCACAGCTAATGCAAAACATATGTTGCACCACATCGATTGCATCGCATACATTGCTCACCACATACATTGCAAGGTATATATCGCGCCACATCGTCTGCACAACATAATGCTCACCACACATTTTGCACCACATATATTGCACAACATGCGTTACACAACATACTTTGCTAGAACACACGCTGTTTGGGCTCCGCGTTGGCTCTCATATTAGATTGTTTCGCGAGCGTTATGGCAAAAAAACGTCCGCCACGGAACTCATACAATAGAGCGTGCGCTTCGCCCAGGGAGGGGGGGCGACACACACATATTATATATATATATATATGCTTGAACCATCGCGCGCGCTTCGCGAGCGCTCAAGTTCTAGGCTTGATGGGCGAACGCATGGAATATTATCCTTGTCGCTTCTTGCATCCAGGCACACGCTTCTGTCATCCTAGGTTTGGAGGCCCTGCGCAAGCCTCGGGATCGCATAAAAGGGGAACTGCGGAAACGTACAAATCGTTAATTGCCGTTCGGTATTCAACGATTTGGGGTCCTCGAAAGCTTCCTGTGTTCTTTTCTGGGGCCTTCATCGTTGTCTGTTCTGCAAGAATAGACAGGGGGCGAACTTGGAAAAACAACGGAATGGTGGAATTTCGTTTTTTCCCCACATCCTGAGTGGGGTTCTTGTTTTCCCAGAACACCCTCTCCTTCCCACCCACCGCCCGCTCCATCTTCCATACAGCACAATATTATTCCTACCGCACACACCATACCATGCCATAGTTCCTACCACACATACCATACCATACCATACCATACCATACCATGCCACACCATACGTGCCATACCGTACCATACCATACCATACCATTCCATACCACTCCGTACAGAAAACCGTACCATACCATACCATTCCATACCACTCCATACCGAAAACCATATTATTTACATGGTTTCGTGCCCCTCCCACCCCTCCAGGGAGGCCCCGCCTGAGCGAGGAGGGTATCGGAATACCATGCTATTTGCATGGTTTCGTGCCCCTCCCACACCTCCAGGGAGGCCCCGCCCCTCCCACCCCTCCAGGGAGGCCCCGCCTGAGCGAGGAGGGTATCGGAATACCATACTATTTACATGGTTTCGTGCCCCTCCCACCCCTCCAGGGAGGCCCCGCCTGAGCGAGGAGGGTATCGGACTACCATACTATTTACATGGTTTCGTGCCCCTCCCACCCCTCCAGGGAGGCCCCGCCTGAGCGAGGAGGGTATCGGAATACCATACTATTTACATGGTTTCGTGCCCCTCCCACCCCTCCAGGGAGGCCCCGCCTGAGCGAGGAGGGTATCGGAATACCATACTATTTACATGGTTTCGTGCCCCTCCCACCCCTCCAGGGAGGCCCCGCCTGAGCGAGGAGGGTATCGGAATACCATACTATTTACATGGTTTCGTGCCCCTCCCACCCCTCCAGGGAGGCCCCGCCTGAGCGAGGAGGGTATCCGCAAACCATACTATTTACATGGTTTCGTGCCCCTCCCCCCTTCCAGCGGGGCCCCGCCAAAGCGAGGAGGGCATCAAGAAAATGGGTCCCACGAAACCGTTAATCTCTTTATGTGGGGAACTCCGTTAGCATAATTTTCAAGATGTAGTGCCTGGGCTGTGGCTTAGACGTTTTCTGCATGCAGGCCACGGTCTGTTGGGATGCCTCCCGGGGTCTTCGTGCAAAAACAAGCATGGGGTGAGTTTGAAAAACAGGGATTCTCAACTTCCACTGCTTCAATTTATGGGATCATAATATCTCGATGTCTACAGCATGGTTTCAAGGGCAGCAAGAGAGTGCCAAGACAGCGTAAGATAGTTCAACAGCATTCCAGAAACATTTTTGCATGTGCCCCCGAATTCTTGATGGGGCTCGAATCGAGGAAGAGGATAGGGAGTAGGAGTCCCAACAGAAAAAAGGGGGATCTCTGGAATTCCTTTTTGATTCAAATTCCTCGGTCTTGGAGCGTTGGAAACGGGAAAACGTGAGAAGGCGAAAAGAGTCGACAAACATCATTGGAAAGCAACGATGTTAACCTCTTAGGGCTCTTTCGGGACGGCTCTCGAAGCTCTCTTGGGCTGTTTTTGGGGCCTCGTCGGGGATTTTTTGGGAGCCTCTCAAAGGTCTGGGGTGTGTTGGGGGCCTCTGGAGAGTCCTGGAGTCCTCTCGGAGGTCTCTGGAGGCCTCCTGCTCCCGCTCTTGGGCTCATCTGGGGCCTGTTCTGGGGTGGTCTGGAGCTGTCCGGGGTGCCTCTTCGGCAGTCTTGGGGCCGTCTTGGCCCGTCTTGGGACCGTCTTGGGGGGCTCTGGGGCGGTCTCGGGGCGGTCTTCGGGGCCTCGTCGGCCGTCTTGGAGCGTTGGAAGCATGAAATGGTGAGAAGGCCAACGACCCTCCAAAAAACTATGACAATTGACGATTTTAGGTTCTCCGGGCGCTCTCGGGAGGCCTCGCGGAGCTCTCTTGAAGTCTTTTGGAGGCCTCCTGGGAGCCTGGAGAGCCGCCCGAATGCTATCCTGGGTTGCTTGGGAGCGTCTTGGGCCTTTCTTTGACGTTGTGGGGGCTTCTTGGGGTCGTCTTGGGCTGTCCTTGGGCGTTTCGGGGGCTCCCTGGGAGGTCGGGAAGCGTTGTACCGGGAGCGTTCCGCAGATGCTCCGGGAAGGTGTGGGACCCCCGCGAGGAGGGGGCGCGCATTTGTTGAATTTTTGTTTTTAAAGGGAATCTCTGAAATTTCCTTTTTTTCAATTTCCTCCGTCTTGGAGCGTTGGAAGCCGCAACACACGAGAAGGCAAACCAAGTCGACAAAAACAACTGAAGGTCAACGTTTTTACCCTCTTCGGGCTCTCTCTCTGGACGGCTCTCGAAGCTCTCTTGGGCTGTTTTGGGGGCCTCGTCGGCGCTTTTTTGGGGGCCTCTCAAAGGTGTGTTGGAGGCCTCTTGGGGGATCCAGGAGTCCTCTCGGAGGTCTCTGGAG